AAAAAAAAAAAAAAAAAAAAAAAAAAAAGAAAACATTTCTAAATAACACATGGCTCAAAGAATAAAGAATAAATCACAGAATAAATTTAATGTTTTAATATAAGTAACACATTTAAAGGGAATACAATGTATCAAATTTGGTGTAATGCAGCAAAAGCAATGTTTAGAGGGAAATGTATAGTATTAAATGCATATATTAGAAAAGAAGAAATATTTAAATTAATAACCTAAATTTCCACCTTAGAAAAGCAGAAAAAGAATCAAAATGTAAGCCCAAAGAACCAGATGAAGAGAAGTAAGCAAGATTTTAGCATAAATCAATGAAATTAAGAAATAAATACAGAAAAATCAGTGAAACTAAAAGTGCATTCTTTAAAAAGATAATTGATCAACCTGTAGCCAAGATAACAAAAAAAGAAAATTGATATTATACAAGTTATCAATATCAGATGAAGGAGGGGTTATCCCTGAAAATCATTAAAAGGATAATAAAATAATACTGGAACAAAGTTATACCCACAAATTTGAAGACTTATGTGAAATAAACCAATTCCTTAAAAGATCAAAACTCGGCCAAGTGCAGTGGCTTATGCCTGTAATCTTAGCACCTTGGGAGGCCAAGGCGGGTGGATCATGAGGTCAAGAGATCAAGACCATCCTGGCCAACATGATGAAACCACATCTGTACTAAAAATACAAAAATAAGCGGGGCATTGTGGCATATGCCTGTAGTCCCAGCTACTTGGGAGGCTGAGGCAGGAGAATCGTGTGAACCTGGGAGGTGGAGGTTGCAGTGAGCTGAGATTGGGCCACTGCACTCCAGCCTGGCGACAGAGCGAGACTCCATCTCAAAACCAACCAAACAAAAAGACCAAAATTCATGCAAGGATAAATAAACAGTCTGAACAGAACTATATCTATTTTTAAAATTGAATCAGTGATTATATAACCTCCAAAAAAGAAAGATAGCAGCCCAGAGGCTTTTATTAGTAAATTCTTAAACATTTCAGGAAGAAACAATGCCAATTCTCTGCAATATTTTCCCAAAGTAGAGCAGAAGAAACATTTTTCCTAAATTATTCTATGAGGCCAGCATTACCCTGATAGCAAATTCAGGTAAACACAATACAAAAAAGGAAAATTATGGGTCAGTATTTCCCATGAATGTGATGCAAAATCTCTCAACAATATATTATCAAATTAAATCCAACAATGTATAAAAATGAATTATACGCCACAACCAAGTGAAATGTATTCCAGATATGCAAGGTTGGTTCACCTTTCAAAAGCTAATAACTATAATCCACCATAGCCAC